ACCTTGAAATAGTCCAAGTGAGTCACTAGCCCAACCCCCAACAGGAAGAGACCCTGTCCTGTATTCATGCCTGCTTGCTACATGACTGGCTTCCCCATTTGGTACTGAATTAATCAATTTTACCTGAGCAATGGCGCTTGTAATCTCATTGGTTGACCACAGCTTTGTCCCACCTCATGCCCCCCTAGAGTTCCCATGTCTTCTCCACCACCTCAGACCCACCTCACCACATGGTTTTCCTCTATAAAAGTCCCTGGAAGAGACACCTTCCTGGGGATAACCACTTGGGCCCCCTTTCTGTCCCTTTCTAGGACAAGAACTTTCTTTCCTTCAATAAATGTAATCTGCTCATAACCTCCATTTGTTGCTAAAATTCATTCTTCAGTTTTAGAGAACACAGACTCAGCCCAGGTACACTCCAGGTCAGGAGTTTCATTTTTTCCCCTGTATCATTTGGAGGACATCCACCCGACATCATCATTTGTTCCTTGTGTCAGTATCTCAATATAAAAAATAAAGCAGTCTGGGGGTGTAACTTAGTGGCAAAATGCCGGTGGGTTCAATCCTCAGAGAAGAAAGGAGGGAGGGAAGAGAGAAAGAGAGAAAAGAGAATGGAAGGGAAAGGAAGGAAGAGGGGGAGGGAGGGGGGAAAAAGACACCAGCTGATACTCAGTGTACTTTTTTTTTAGTGGAACCGGGGATTGAACTCAGGCCCTTGCACTTGCCAGGGAAGTGCTTATTCCACTGAACCATCTCCCCAGCCAACACCAGCTGATAAAAAACCAGGGCAGACGGCTACCCGCGCCTTCCTGTCTACCCAACCGCGGCCTAGCCCGCTCACCGCCTGTAGAAAATGGTGAAGGAAACGACTTATTACGATGTTTTGGGGGTCAAACCCAATGCTACCCAAGAAGAGCTAAAAAAGGCTTATAGGAAACTGGCTTTGAAGTACCATCCTGATAAGAATCCAAATGAAGGCGAAAAGTTTAAACAGATTTCTCAAGCTTATGAAGTTCTCTCTGATGCCAAGAAAAGGGAATTGTATGACAAAGGAGGAGAACAGGCAATTAAGGAGGGTGGAGCAGGCGGAGGTTTTGGATCCCCCATGGATATCTTTGACATGTTTTTTGGAGGAGGAGGAAGGATGCAGAGAGAAAGGAGAGGTAAAAATGTGGTGCATCAGCTCTCAGTTACCTTAGAAGATTTATATAATGGTGCCACAAGGAAATTGGCTCTGCAAAAGAATGTGATTTGTGACAAATGTGAAGGCCGAGGTGGTAAGAAAGGAGCTGTGGAGTGCTGTCCCAACTGCCGAGGTACTGGGATGCAAATAAGGATTCATCAGATAGGACCTGGAATGGTTCAGCAAATTCAGTCTGTGTGCATGGAGTGCCAGGGCCATGGAGAACGCATCAGCCCTAAAGACAGATGTAAGAGCTGCAACGGAAGGAAGATAGTTAGAGAAAAGCAGATTCTAGAAGTTCATATTGACAAAGGCATGAAAGATGGCCAGAAGATAATGTTCCATGGTGAAGGAGACCAAGAACCAGGGCTGGAGCCAGGAGATATTATCATTGTGTTAGATCAGAAGGACCATGCTGTTTTTACTCGGCGAGGAGAAGATCTTTTCATGTGTATGGATATACAGCTGGTTGAAGCACTGTGTGGCTTCCAAAAGCCAATATCCACTCTTGATAACCGAACGATAGTCATCACCTCTCATCCAGGTCAGATTGTCAAGCATGGAGACATCAAGTGTGTGCTAAATGAAGGCATGCCAATTTATCGTAGACCATATGAAAAGGGTCATCTAATCATTGAATTTAAGGTAAACTTTCCTGAAAATGGCTTTCTCTCTCCTGATAAACTCTCATTGCTGGAAAAACTCTTACCTGAGAGGAAGGAAGTAGAAGAGACCGATGAAATGGATCAGGTAGAACTGGTAGACTTTGATCCAAATCAGGAAAGACGACGTCATTATAATGGAGAAGCCTATGAGGATGACGAACATCATCCCAGAGGTGGTGTTCAATGTCAGACCTCTTAATGGGGCCAGTGAATAATGTCACTGCTGGCATATGGTGAGCAGTAGTGAGTACGCGAAGGACTAGAATCATCATATGCTCACTACTTGCTATTGTTTTTGTTTCAATATTCAAGTACAGTAGTGTTTTAAAAGTTAAATGAAGAATAAACACAAAGGTCTGACTTTGCTCTGTATGTATGACTTCAGTGTGCAAGATGAAGTTTCATGCCTGTAAAAAGTACCTAACCCTGGTGTCTGTTAGACCATGCCTTGTGATCGATTTCAGTTGTATACATGGACAAGCTTAGACTGAAATGCTAGATAATGTGTTGACTTCAGTGTATGACCCTTCTTTGTTAAGCTATGGATTAAAACTGTTTAACTGGCAACCAGGAAAAAAAAAAAAAAACAGGGCAAAGCCACTTGCAACCAGCCAATGCTGTCAGACAAATGAAGTTGTGGTTGAATACTGGAGGCCAAAGAGAGATGCAGCAGGACCCAAGGCACCACCAACCCCGGAGGGCACACAGCAGATGCACAGGACCATTCATGACCTCCGCCAGCCATGGCTACTTTTGTACTGGCCACTGCAAGCAAGGACAGTGCCCCACAGCCAGTAAGGGAAGGCAGGCAGGGAAGGACTTGTACATGCACACTGATAACTTGTAACCTAGCACCACTTCTAGGGGTCATGAGGATCCCTTTCTTCTTGAGACAGAAGAGGTCAGTGCTTCACAGTGGCTCTCTGTTTCATTGTCAGGAAGGAGGTGGTGAAACAATCCTAGAAATGGTCTAATACCGCAGAATAGCATTTACCTGAAAGAGGCCATTGTAAGTGAGGAAAGCCACCTTGTGTGGTGTAGTAGTTGTGGTTTCCTACTGAGCAGAGTCAGTTATAGAACAAAAAGGGGTTATCGTTAATCACTACCTTCCCTGGGTTTCAGGGTCCAGCCTGTAATCCTAGGACTATACACCAGAGCCCAGGGGGACATTTCCTGGCTGGCCAAAGAACTCCTGGGATGAAAGTCCCAAAGGCTGGTTTCCTGAACAGCAGAAGCTTAGCACCACCCAATGGCAAGAAGTGGTCACTCCAAAGCTAGGAGCTGAAAAGAACAGCAGAGCCTCAGAATTGTAGCTGAGCACCTCAGAACTGGCCACATTTTACAGCCTCAACCCTGAGCTGGGTTCCTCTCCAGTGTCACTGTCCAAACAATGAGAGACAGGATTCCACCAGGCTGACTGGACTTGGATCCACCAGTTCTTCTAAATGTTTTCCCTTAAAGGATCACACTGCCTGCCTTTCCCTTGAGGGTGGGCTGGATTTTGTGACCTACTTCTAATGACTGCTGTGGTAGTGGCTGCACGTGAACTCCCGAGGCCAGGCACAAAGACACATGCCTGCCCCAAGGACGCCACTGGCTCCCTTTTGGGGAAATAGGCTGCTATGTTGGGGGTGTCCTTCAAGCAATCCCATAGAGAGGTCCTTGTGGTGACGAAGTGAGGTCTCAGCAACCAGCAAAATGAAACCAGAGGCCTCCTGGTTGTAGCTACGGGGTCATTTTAGATTGAGGTCATCCAGACCTACCCCTTCAAGGACAGCAGCCTGGGGTTGACGTCTTAATTACAAGGCCATCCTTGCGCCTCCTAGTTGAGTGGCATTTTAAATTCAGAAGCCATGAAAACAGTAACATAATGAACATCTGTTTTCAGTTGCTGAGTTCTGGGCAATCTGTTACACAGAAATGGATAACTAAGCCACTCAGTGTGGGATCTGGAGTGAGTACCATCCTAGACCTCAGTTTCCTCATCTATAAAACAGCAGTGACACTACCTGTTAGGACACGGTTCTCCTTGGGCTCTCACATTTCCACCTGTCCTATGAAGACAGCCCTGGCTACCCTGGTTCTGCACCACCCCTCCAGGAGATCTGTGTAACAGGCTCGGATGACAGGATGTCCTCTGTCCCTCCAGGCCCCTAGGCTCAGGGTCCTTTCTCTGTAATGCAATCCCCTATGGGAATCACCTACCCCTTCCTATGTCACCCTGTGAGGCTGGGGCTCAGGAAACCAGTGCAGGAAACTAATAACATTTTTGAAGATGAAGCGCCTGGTGTCGCAGCCTCTGGCATAGGGAACAGTGCTGGTAACCATGAAAAACCCACCTTGGCCACGCTGATTAGAGCTATCCTTGTCACCCTCTTCGTCCTCTTCCTCATCAGTTGTGGCATTTGGTATAAACATCTCCATAGAGCTCGTGTTGCTATCATAGACCACACAGTATTTCACGCACTCCAGATCCACAGATGCCGGAATGAGGTATTCATTGTCCTTCTAAGGAAGAACACAGATAAACGCTGGCAGGCGGTGTGGTGAGGAATGTATTCCCAGCACGGGATGTTAGAGGGCATGTGAGGCAAGGACTGTGTTCCTTCCCCTGACAACACAAAGGCTAGAAGCACCAAGAGTGGCCACAAAGGCTAGACAGAGCTTGTTCAGAGGTAGATGCTTGACCAAAGGGCAGTTGGCCTATCGATGGGCTCATAAGCTCTTGGAAGTCCTGGTATCAAAATGAACAGGCCCAGAAAAATCATGACACCGTCTCCTGGAGAGGGACCAAATCTCAGTCTCTCATAAGAGTGTAGTAAGTACAAGACTTGGGTAAGCAGAAGTCATGAAAAAGCAGATGCCAATGGAGGACTGTGAGATTTAATGTAAGCCCTGCGAGAGCAGGGACATGAGACTATGTCAGTCACTGATGCACCCTGAGCTTCTAGACAGTGGCTGGTACATGGGAGGCCCTGCTGGTAGGTAAAGGAATGAATGGCAAGCGGCCTTGAGCGAGAGAAGAGCCAGGGAGCGGGAGTCAGGGGGCAAGAAAAAGAGATGCTGACTGCTTAGGTAATGGTGTTATCTAGAGAGAGGAAGGGACTGTAAAGGATAACATCACCTAGGTGTATCTGTGTGGATATGAGGTCACTGAGGAAGGGGATGATGTCTTCTCATAGTACCTGAGCTACTCTCGACCTTAATAGAAGTGTTGGAACCCAAGGAGCCTGGCTGGATGCCATCTGGGAGTCCCCAGTTGCTCACAATAAGTCTCTGGTCAAGGGAATCCTGAACTCACACTGTCCCTTGGCAACCTGGTCTAGCTGACATTGAAGCCACAACCAAAGAGAAATGCCTAAATCAGCCTGAGGACCAGAAGGGCGACATGAGGCAGGAGGTGTCAGCTAGACGAACACTGTGAAGCTCACCTGGCATGCATACAGACTGAGCACTTGCCGTATGGCAGGGACGGGGGGGCCCTTGTGGCACAGTGACTGGCAAGGCAACGAGATCGCAGTGCTCATAGCAAAGCCCCTGTGGCCCAAGGCAGTGGTGCGTGCAGAGGCCAGAGACCAGACTGTGGACATCACAGGTGTAGGACATGCCACCAATTTAACCACAGCAGAGGCAGGACTGCCCACAAAAGGAGAGACTGACTGCCATGTTTAATAGATACCTTGGGGAATATGTTCTGAGACACCGCTGCCCCACGGATGTCTGAATTACAGGTAGTACCAAACCATATATATATATGGTGGGGAGGGGGTTCCTATAACTACATACCTATGATAAAGTTTAATTTATAAATTACTCACAGTAACAAAACTTCCAAATCCCACTGCCTCGTTAGAAAAACACACCCTTCTCTAATTCCAGTTCTGATTGGCTCAGTTTCCATCCAGACCTACAGCCAGTCACTGAGGCCAGAGACCTGGCAGGTATTTTAGGGAGCACTACCAGAACCCCTGGACTACGCAGGGAGATGAAAATTTCCCCTCAATAGGGAAGGAGTGTGGCCAGGAAAATAACAGGAATCTGCCACATCTACTTTTTGGGGGAAAAAGGTAAGTAAGTGTCATGGTGCATGCCTCTTCTCCTAGTACTGTGAGAGCCTGAGGCAGGAGGATCACAAGTTCAAACCCAGCCTGGGCAACTCAGAGACTCCTGTCTCAAAATTTAAAAAAATAAAATAATAAAAGAAAGACTGGGAAGCTGGGTGTGGTAGCACACACCTGTAATCCCACCACTCAGGGGACTGAGGCAGGAGAACTGCCAGGGGTTCAAGGCCAACCTGGAGTATATGGTGACTTCAAGGTCATCCTGAACTGTACAGCAAGACCCTGTCTCAAACCAAAAACAAAAAGGCTGGGGATGTAGCTCAGTACAAAGGCTCTAGGTTCAATCCCCAGTACTGCTTTCAAAAAGAAAAAAAAAAAAAAAAAGTACAAACTGATTTAGGATGTGGTGTCCCAATCTCAAAAAATCTTAAAATATGGGAGAAACATGTGCAAGGAAAAAATGGCAGGGCAATATTGGGGTGCTGGCTGACAGTTAAATGTCAGAGCTGGAGTCAAAGAAGGAAGCTCAGATCCAAGAAGGCTGTGAACCCCAAGTTGGGAGGCTTCATACCCTGCAGCAAGGACTGGAAAGTCGGAGAGGGAGGGGAAAGGGATCGGCCTGACTGAGAGGTTCTGAGGTGCTGAGGCAGAGGCATTGTCTGCTTCCCAGACTGGGGGTGCTGCCAGAATCCAAGGCTCACTGGCTGGTGGCGAGCTGAGTGGGGAATGAGGCCCAGGCATTATGGAGGGCTCAGAATGGGGGTGGGGGGAGAGAAAGGCCTGAAATAAGGGTTAAGAATTCAAGTATAGAGCCAGAGAATTGAGATCCCAGGAAGAAATAAAACAGAAAATGAGAATGAGGGGGTTAGGCAGTAAATTTATTCTGGAAAAATATTTAGGCCAGGACCCAGGCTCCCTGCTGAGTTATGGGCAGAAAAAGGGCCAGACACAGAGTGCACTCAGCTCAGGGCTGAGGGGAAACTAGAGGAGGAGGGGATTTTCAAGACTATTTTATAAGTGAACTTGACAGGACCCCTCACTGTATGTGGATAGTTGAAGCTGTAAACTTGGGCGGGACCTTGCAAGAAAGTCTCCTAACGGGAGAGATCAAAAGCCACAGGTATCTTCAAGCAGCACGCAGGAGAAAATATAGCTGAACCAATCAAAGGGACAGAGAAAAAACCCGGGAAGTAAGCGAGATTCTCAAAGCAACGGGCGGACTGTGGCCAGAACCACAGAGGTCAGAGACGGATGTGGCTGTGACTCCGGGCGGAAGATGCCCTGCATGGGTGGAGAAAGGGGCCTGACTGTAGAGGGTAGAAGGTGCCTGAGTGCAGGACTCTGTCCACTTGCTGGGATGGAGAAAGGCAAATGGGAGGGAAGGAAGGCAAGAAGAGGGACTTCCGTCTTTAAGTACAGTAAACACCTCTGCGGCTTAGGTCCACTCCCTGAGGAGAACAAAAGCTCTGCGAGTATGGACACTGGACGGAGGGCATCTTGTACCTTGGGGTATCCCTGGGGCCTGGCGCAGCAAGGAATGACCTCTGTATTTGCTGTGGTGGGGGTGGGGACAACTTCAGGAGTGAGGAGGACACCATGGTGCAGGCACAGGCAAGGTCCTGCCCTGATGCCGTGTCCCAGGACGAGCCACCCCAGGCCCAAGCACGACACCTCCTGCTCCTTCCCACCCCCTGGCCCGGGCCCGAGGATTCTGCCTGGGCCAGTACCTTCTTCACACGCAGGGCGGTGATCACGTGGCTCTCATCATACTCCCGTTTAGAGCGAACGTCTGAAAGGAAAAGGCTTTCGTTCACAACTGGATTCGCAAAGGAACATGTGAGCAAAGGACTCAAAACTCACTTGCTCATCAAGATACATTTTCTTGGCCAGGAGGAGATAGCTACTGTCTGTGTGAATCCTGAAGTCTGTAGTCCTTTTATGGGGGCTGTGTGCCCACAAACTCCCTGCCTACCATACCTGCTCCCACACACCTCTGTAAGGGGCAACAACTTTTTTTTTTTCATACAGGGTCTTGCTACACACGTCAGACTCATAGTGATCCTCATGCCTCAGCTGCCTCAGCCTCCTCAGCACTGGGATTACAGGCATGTGCCACCACACCTGGTTTAGGGACGGGCATGGCACACCTGGGGTTTCGGGGCCTGCCTGGCATGCAGAACCAGGGATCAAACTCAGGACTTTGCATTTGCCAGGCAGGTACTTAGACTGCTGAGCTATCTCTCCAGCCCTAGATTTCGTATTTTTGACATGAGGTTTGATCCCCAGCGTGCTGTGCTGGCCCCACCCCCAAGGCACACTGAGATGGCAACTGAGACTGTGCATGGTGGCACATGCCTGTAATCCCAGTGATGGGAGGCTGAAAAGAGGAGGATCACTATGAGTCCAATCTATATAGTGAGACCCTATAGACCGTGTATTAAATACGAGAGAGAGCGAGAGAGAGCGAGAGAGAGCGAGAGAGAGAGAGAGAGAGAGAGACAGAGAGACAGAGAGAGAGAAAGAGAGAGAGGCCTATAATCACAGCACTTTGGGAGGCTGAGGCAGGACAATTTTGAGCCCAGCCTGGGTAATTTAATGACTTAGTGAGACCTTGCCTCAAAATAAAAAATAGAAAGGGCCTGAAGATGTGGCACAGTATGAAATCCCTGGGTTCAACCTCCAGGATCACCACCAAAGAAAAAGAGCTCCTGGGTCAGCAAGTAAGCTC